GCTACTAGGCAGTGAGATACATTTATTTTGCCACATCAACATTTTGTGCTTAATAGACACATGTTTTGAACCATTTAAGTGTTTAATAGGTACAAGCCTTAATTGAAGTGTTTAAATGAATTATGCAGATAACTTTAGGAGGCCGGAGATGACTTTGGCCTTCCTTATAATTGTAGGTGTAAAATACTGATTTTATTTTCAAACCATATTATGTCCCACCCATAAAGTTAGAAAGAGAGTACATATATTCAATCTCCACCAATAGAATGGAGAATAAACTCTAACACTCATCATATATATATATTGACATCTAAAGTAAATTTTGGATGTGGCAGCCCCAAGATGCAACCAAGCATAAGGTTGTGCACATTCCTCATGTTACACAACACACTTTCTAATGTGTCAATGAGTCCACACTGTCTCTTTCCTTTATATAAGCATATAGTTTCCTCACCTATTCACACCACAAAAACATTAATTCTTCATTTTCCATATCAAAGAGATCATATATACAAAATCCAATATCTCATATTTCTATAGTCCAAGAAGAGTTATATAGAATGTCTAGCATTTTTAAGATTATTGGGTTTCAGAAGAGAAGGTCGTGTTTAGATGGAGACGACGATGGAGACTATGACTATGCTCCTGCAGCATGCTTAGAAGGGGATGGTGACGGAGCGATGATGGAGATTATGACTATGCTCCTGCAGCATCCTTGGAAGGAGATGACGATGATCGAGACTATGATTATGCTCCTGCCGCATCCTTGGAAGGAGATGGCGATGATGAAGATTACGCTTATGCTCCAGCCGCATGATTTAGTGGTAATTAATGGTAGATTTAGAGAACGTGGGATTGATTATTGTAGCATGAAATTAAAATTATAATTTATTGACACTAGTTATGATGTATATCGTCCCGATTCTTAGTATTATGATGGGAGAATACATAAAGACAACCCTTAAATTATTCAGACACTTAAAATTTGTGAGGATCCTAATAGTACCGATCAACAATTTTGAAGTGCTATATATAAAAGGTAAAACAACCTAACTACCACGTTGTACATGTACTATAACAGAAAGCATAGACATCTAGTCACCTTAAAAAATTTCTTATTTCAATTTGTTCCCTACAACTATATAAACATAACATTTCATGACTAAGATTCCTATCCTAATTTCATACATGTACTCCCTACTACTATGTAACATAAACTCAACATTCACCCTCTAGCAATAGAACATCACATTTTTCACCTTCTCTTTCAATGCTGGTAGTGGCCGGACGTTGACAGAACCGTTCGTTGCACGTGTGCTACGCATTGAACCGTTGTCACGTGAGTCAGGTTCTACGTAGAAACGCGCTCTATAGGCAGCCAAATGAGCATAATATGCAGGAGGAACTGCAAAAGTTGTGAGAATGATATGGTTATTGTCAAGTTCACCTAACACTTGTATCCAAATACGTAACTACTTTTACTTAAAATGCTTATCAGCTAAGCCAAATGAGCTCATGATGTATACAAAGTCTATTTTACAATGAAATGTTTGAATACTATAGTGATCTAAATAAAGCAGAGTAGATGTAGAGGATATATATCGCGAATGAACCTTATAAAATAATCAACACTGATGCAAACATAACGAACATAAGCTTATCATGAAACCTAAGTTTCGTAATTGTCTTAGGAGAGAGTATATGAGAAATGTACCTACTGAAACAGAACGAGTGCATCGAGCATATCTGCAATAAATCAAACGATCACTAAGGAATTGAATTTTCCGAAAACAAGTATAGAAACAAATTATGAATGCTTACGTATAACAAAGGTTGTTTGTCAAAGACTGCATTTCATCCGCGGAGAAATTATTTTCATCCCAGAGAACGTGATAATGTGCAGGACGACTAGTTCCCTGGACATCCAACATTGTGTTAGTTAACTCTTGTTGGAGTTTTTTTTTTTCGAATTAAAAACTTGTATAAGCATTTCACCTGAATTCCAGCATGACTGCATAAGTAAAAATCGAATTCAGTTGGATGACATATTTTTGTATCCACCACAGTACCTGAAAAAAAACACGAAAATGAAGTTAAAAGGGGTAAAAAGGACAGCATATATTGACTAACAAGATTGTTATACTCCGTCTGTTCCATTTTATGTGACATACTTTCCTTTTAAGTCTGTTAAATGTGTCATGGCATGTTTAACGCTACAAGTTCTTGAAGCCTTTTTGGTTTTTCAAACTCTGTGTCCAATCAAACAAACGTCATATAACATAAAACGGAGAGAGTAACATATTAAATGAGGTCTCTCGATCCTCTTTCTTGATGTAAGATGTTTCGATAACTTTAAGATCAATACTCAATGTAAGAAGAGCAAAAAGTATTACCAGGTAGGATGTTTCCACTCCTGTCAGTGTGATTTCTGTCGTTGTGGTTATTTGGCAAAAGACGTGTGTGGTGACGTTTTTGGACGACTATGAAGGTTACTGGAGGTTGGTAACCTGGTTCAAGAGATGCACAAGCCTGTATACCGGGAAGAATGAGTGAACTTACACAAACGCACAATCAAAAATAATATATGAATGGTGACAACATTTACATACATACCTTACGAATTGCATCGAGTTCATAAAGTAGAACCTGATAAAACTGACCGTCACTTACACCATCCCTGCATAGAATTGAAAGACAACGAAATATACAACAATCAAGCAGAGGGGCGGTTCAATACTATTGGTGGACTAAAGCCAAATTTTAATAAGAGGCCTCATCATCCGTTTGTGATCATGAAAATGATCACATGATATCATACCTGTAGAATATTATTCTCAGTGGTTTCTGTCCTGTGGCTTTCTTGAACGCCAATAGAAGTTCTCTGGAAAAGCGCGGAAAACAAACATGTCAGTACATTTTTGTGTAAAATGAATGTTACAATGACGAAAAAATATGCACCTAATCATCCCTCCAGACATTGTTCCTCGTTGAGGATCTTGCCAAGTCCGGTAAAGATCTTGAATGAGTTCTTGTCTATGAGGTTGAGCACATACTAAACCGGCGTATTTAGTAACTTCTGGCCAATCTTGTGATGCTACAACCTGAATCAAGAAAATCGTATATCCAATATAAACATTTTGAAAAAGGTTCAAACGTTCATATATGATAAACAAATTTTTTGAGTTGATTTCTCAGATGGTCATTCAACTAATAGTTGTTATCTCAGAAAGTCCACTATTCTTCGTGATTTCAATTTTTTGCAACAAAGAACGTGACTTTCTAAGATAATAACTATTTGAGGATCGATCATCTGAGAAATCAACTCACGAATTCTTTATGCTTACAGCAGCAATCGATGGGCTACAGTCTTCTCCTGATTCCGGATGAGTCACATCAGCACCAAATATAATCGTTGGGATATCACTAACGAGAGGAATTTTCCATCTCAAAGCATCTAAAAGTACAGTGTTCCTTCCTCCCATCTATCAACACAATGATTAACCATAAGAAAAAGTTCTGTGCAGCACATACTATGGAAGTTAAATTGGATTATAATCATCTCAGCACGTCGAATTTCTACATACCTTCACATTTATTTTCAGTGATACATTTGACAGATATTGCTTGCTGATTTTTAACACATGCTTTGTAAGACAACACTGAGAAATCATACCCAAATCCGTCTCACAAATTTTCTTCAGAGTACCTAAAGATTGATTGACGATCAACGTGTTACTCAAACAACATCCATTCATATATAAACAACTCATATTCCTGATATATCAAGCATAATTTTGTTCAAGTAATATACACCGTCAGTGTAAACAATTGTTTACATCATCAGGTTATCTTTACCTGTTGTAGCAGATAACGTATCATATTTTCAAGATTTCAAATACCATAATTCAAGAAGACTTACCTATAGATATCATTTGGATGACCTGATGACAGTGTACAAAAAGGGACTTATAGGAGTAATATCTTTCGGGACTAATAGCCGTTAGAGAGAAAATCACAACGATCTAGATACTATGTTCACGAACGTAATCAATATTGTCGAAGTTTCAACAAAGGTTAGCACATACCATACAAAGAACCATTGTTGTCAGGTAGAATGGCAATTAGTAACTCCAATTCTTTTCCTCCAAGTTTGTTAGCAGCAGCATTGTATACATAATTCAATGCCTTCTTTGCCTGATCTGGTCTTGCATAATAAACCGGTATCATGGGCTCACAATTAAATTCCTGAGATGAAGTATCAATAATTAAAACCATTTAGTCAGTATGCATGGACTGAGACAATTAGTCTAATGACGCTAAAAGCTATGTTGCTCAGACTCTCCAAAAGGCTGTCGCACTTGTGTCACATCATCCAAAAATGAACTACTTTTCGACGAGTATTTATGAAGGGTCTAAACAACATGTGGGAAACACTATGTGGGAAACACTTACCATTCCAGAGATTTGGCACATTTGGGCAAGCTGATGACAAAAGCCACGGGCTGCATTTTCTTGGACGTTACACGAAAAGTTGATGCAAGCCCAGTGGTTTACAGTACTTCCATTAATTACTTTCTGTATGACGAAGGCAAGCAATGTTCGATTAGTATCATTCTTCGAATGCTAATATAAAACCGAAAGATGTTATATGTACCTTATTTAACATGTTCCACTGGCCTAGCTGTGGATGACATTCCTTTTCCTTCCCTGCATCATGGTACTTTAACTAACAAAGACAAGAAAAACAAATAAATAAATATGTTAGTGGCTTTGAAAACGAGTTGTGTGAGTAAAGATATATCAATCATTACCCATGGTGCAGGGAGAACTCGAGCTTCCACTGATGCAAGCTTATCGTCAATATTGATGCCAAACTCCTTCGCAATAGGGTCTTGCTTGTATCCGTTCTGGCGAATGGTCTGTACATAGACATCATTTAGTTCATTACCATAAAACCTGTCTTTGTTACTAAAAAGCAATTGCATTCCGAAAATTGGCTTAAATGTGTGTGTGTGTATGCTCATTACTGCCTCCATTTCAATCTGTTTTTTAGTTTTGACTTGACACGGAGTTTAAGAAAGTAGAAAAGTTTAAACATGCCACGTGGAAAGTTAGAATTACAAAGTTGCCAAACATAGGAAAGAGACGCTCTCTTTTGAACGAACTAAAAAGGAGAGTAAGACAAACAAATTAAAACGGAGGGAGTATGTTTTCATGACAATGGATCAACAAACCTGCAAAATGTCCATTTCTTGTTCTCGTGGTCTTTGGCATGACGATTTCAACAGTGAAGTTATCTGCTTCTCATCCAACCTTTTGGTGTATCTCTGTCCCTCGAGTATCTTACAAGCCTATTACAACAATCATTATTCGGAAAAACTTTTCACTTGAGATAAAAGTGAGTTGAATCATGAAGTAGTTCACGCAATGTTTACCTCCATCGGTAAGTAATTCACTTTCTTTTGGCTTCCCACGAGAAGACAAGGTAGATGAGGATACTGAATGGTGAATCCATACACCTCCTGGAAATACTCGATGACTGATTTCATGTTCTTCTCCTCATCGACAGGAAAACTGTAACGATCATAAGAAAGTAAAGCAGTAAGAGCCACGGAAATGCAAAAATAAAGATAGAAATGAAGCTATGTGAAACTACAAGTACATTAGCTCCCTTGTTGGTTGTGATGTCAATCCAGAAATTCGGTATTTCCTTCGAATATTTCCCCTATGTGTCACTTCAACTTTAACACCTCGAAGAGCTTTTTTAACCTGATTAAGGCACAAACGATCGATCATCATTTACTCTAAAGCAATAGAATTTGGCAAATAAGCTTTTTTTAGACTCTAAACATATGATGTTTTTAAGAAAGTTAAAAGGAACAATTCATTTGATTCATTAGTATAATATGTACCTTTATTCGATCTGCATCGGACAATGGCCTTGAACTTACATCTTTTCCCAAAACTTGAGCAACAAATTCAACAACCGGGAGTGGTTCGATGAATGCTGTTGTTGACATATCTGTTTGATAAATACAAGATATGAAATTGTAATCAGACATCCATACCATCAAATGAAGTTGGAGAAATTCAACGAGTTTACGATTGCCATACCAATATTGAGAGACAATCCCATCTGAGTAGGTTTTATGCTCTGGTAGAAACCCCTCCAAGACTGTAAACCATTACCTAGTGTCTGTGGCTTTTTAATATTCGGAGAATAGAAAAATCTCCCAACGGATATGTACCTAAACGAACACAAGGACAACTAAATAACGGTGGATATAGTTGCAATACTATACCATGGCAATGAGAGAGGGAAAAATGAAATGCACCTTTGAGAAGCAAGTTCCCTTAGCACAATATCGATGATTTTAAGTGCTTGTGGAGGATTATCAACGTGTTTCCCTGAAAGAAGTTCGCGTAATTGAAGCATGTTGGCTTGTGAGATGAACTTGATCGTGACAGTAAATTCACGCTCCCTGAAAACGATTATCAAGAACGTCAGTTCTCATTCGAAAAATTAAATAACAAGTAGTCATATCAACTATGTTGTTCAGACTCTTTAAAAACGCCTCCACATGCATGTCCTTCAAAAGTAGTGCATTTTTAGAGGATCTGACATGAGTGTGGAGGCATTGGAGAGTCCGAGCAACATAGGCTAATGCTATATTAATCAAACATAAAGTGAACATAAAGGAAAAAAAAGACAGAATAGATACTTTGTGATTCCTATCCATTCATCATCATCACCAAGAGTTACAGTGAACTCTTTCGAGTTAAAAGGGAGTAACCCCGCTGTGTAAAGCGTTCTTCTTCCATCAAAAACCGGAATTCTTTTTCCCAAGTCCGCGTCTTTATGAAGTTTAACCAACTCAGCCATTATAGCCTTGTTCAATCTTGTACACCTAACTTCAGGAGTAATTCTTACCTGCATTCAAAATCATGCTAATTAAATTTCAAGCCATTGCGAAAACATTACTAACATATATAAAATTTAGTCACACCAAGAAGTAAGTTAACGTCTTACGCTATACTGGCTTAAGTTCCTTTCTGATAATTCAGCAATGAAATGGTTGGCTTTAACCAAACACTTGGTACCTAATTGTCCATATCCCGGCCTACGAGGGAACACAAGACTTCTTTCGGATGATGATGAAGCAGAACAAGCAGGGGAAACCTCAGAGTTATTACTCATATCCTGCATTTTTTCGACTAATATCCCTTTCCCTTTCCTCCTACCTCTTCTCTTCCCTGCATTATTATTTCTCTTGACTTCTTCCATTCTACTACGCTCTCCACTACTATGGGATTGCGCGTTCTCATTCAACGACTCTTGTAAAGGAGTTCTTGAAACCATATGCTTTTGCTCAAGGTCTAATTTCATTTGCCATTGAGGCATGTTTGTTGCCTATCCTTCACATGACAAATAGAATGAAAAACATCAGCTAGTTTTATAAAGTGTTTTCGGATAATAATAACAACAACATGCTTTCACGAGTTACACACCTCAACTATCACCATCTACGTATTAAAACACACCTCAGCTATTTGACGTGTGTGTTTTAATACATAGATGGTGTCCTGGTTATAGTTCAGGTAAAGAAAACTCGTGAAATAACAATAGTTCAGATGTGTTTTTGACTGTTAACTCTAAAAAGAATCGGAATTCAGGAGGATAGGGATGAAGGCAAAATTTGTGTAATAAGACAATGTATGGATAATAAAAGTATGTGATGAAAGTTAACTTGGCATGACATTTTTCACGTGTAGATGCAAAAGGAATAGTAGTAAAGAATCAAATCTTCACAGTATTTTGTCTTCAACATGAGTTTTTTAGCTGAAAAAGTTACAAAGCCAAAGTAAAACAGAGAGCCATGCAACCATGCAGATACCAATGGGCAAAGTAAAAAACAAAGGATCCACTAAAATAGCCACCCAACAACAAAACAAAACATCTAAATAAAGCTTTATGTTGCTCGGACTTTTCAAATATGATGATGTACTCATTTCAGATTCTTCAAAAAAAAAAAAAAATAGTACTACTTTTGGATGATTCAACACGTAAGTGATACTAATATTTTTGACGAGTCTGAATATAACATAGATGAAGGTTACCACAGTTCTCCCTCTGTCTCAGTTTACGTGACATACTTTTTTTTACAACACAAAATTATATAAAGAATTGTCCAGATTTTATAAGGAGCTCGGAGATCTCGTCCCGGTTCGATATGGGTCATTCTCATCAACAACTTTTTTTTTATTAGAATTTCTGACTCCGTCACTATCACATCACATTAGGAATTTCTTTATGAGAAGAGACAGAATTGATGGACTGTCAACTTAATATTAACAAACTTTTTCAATGAAGTGTCTTAATCAATGTGACAGAAAATACATACATATATATATAGGGTCCCCTATACATTGAGGTCCGTGACCATATTTTAAAGACTGCTAGATTTTTCCCTTTCAATTTTCTGCCTGATACCTTTGCAAAAAGTAGCAACAATAAAACCAAATATTTGAACACTTACCAAAAACCCAATTCTTGGCAACTTTTTAAAAGTAGAAATAGCGTTCACTAGTCACTTTTCGATCATATTATTAAAAAATAGTCATTGTCTTGAAGTTTCAAGTTCTATACGAAGGGACTAAAAAATGTGGCTAGGTGTGAAATTTACCAAATTTTTTTATGTAGCTATGTTATATGATAATCAGTGGTGGAATCAGGATTTTTACTAAGGAATTCAAAATTTGAAGAAATAGACATACAAACTAGCCGAGGGGGCTTCGATATCTACAATATATATATAATTATTTTAACTGTATATATAAGTAGTAAAAAACTTCCCCGAAGGGAGTTCGGATGAAACCCTAACCATAAGGTGGCTCTGCCCTGATGGTAATACTAGGATGAAAGACTGATATATTTAAGTAGAGAAAGATAGAAGAATGAACTATTTAGGCAATGAGAGTTATGAGGTGTTATTGTATCCCCCTTCAAATATTTAGGCAATTACAATGCTAATGAATTTGTCGAAATTATTTTTGAAAACGTATTTTTTGAGTCTTGAATCTAACGGAAATGGTCTCTAATGCAGCGAACATCTCATGGGATATGTAATTGTTGTAAGTTAGATTCTTAGGTATGTAATATTAATAGTAGATAAGAAATTTATAGGGTGCAACCCAAAAGCTGAAGCTAAGATAATAGTACAAGAAAACATTTAATGATAAATATTTGCTAACAAAAAGAGTCACATTTAATGAGCCAAAGGTATTTTCACATTTAATGATTTATGCAGCTGATAAGAGTTCTCAGGGACTTCTTTTAACAATTTGACAGAAATATCACTACTACTCTAGACAGATCAACTAATCCAGATTTAAAGTTTACGGGTTCTGAATCTTCTATACAATTTATGAATTAACGTGAACTCAATAATTTTCGTTCAAACTCTGTATACATAATTAAATTGAACAAGACATGAGAACACTATGAGTGTATACTAACAACAATAACATATCTAATGTACTATTATAAATGACGTCTAAAAAATAAAATATACGCAGACTTTATCACTGTATAAAATTTTGATCCAAAACAAGAAAGAGATGTATCAATAGATGAATGGCAGAATGGTTTCACCATTAACGGTCCAAGTGTTTGGCTCTGGGACCAATGACTGACCAAGTGATTGTATAAATATATCAATAATTGTATAAATAATATAATATATATATATATATATATATATATATATATATATATATATATATTTCAACTTATTTCCCTTCTTGGGGATTGATGATTTTTTTTCCCTAACAACATGATCTCCCCTCATCCAAAAAAAAAGAACTTGGGGTGATTTAGTCTAACAACCAACACATGCAAGTCGAACGGAAAATGGTGTTTTTAGTGGCAAGTGAGGGGCGTGTTTATGCCTCTTAGTGATACAAATGATCGCTTAACCTTCGTTCGATACAGATTTCATGAGATTGATTCGCCCTAAATAAACTATTCACCGCACAGTGTCCTGCCTCTCCACAAATGATTAGCGTAATGGTTAGCTAGACATCATAAAATAGGATGCATGTAAAATAAAGTGTACATAAATTATATCATTATTTTATAAAAATAAAAATAAAAGTATTTTAGAAAAATCTTCGATTTAGATAACGCATACCAAAAAATGGGTTTAGTCTCCCAACCAAATAGTCCAAATTGTCTGCATAAGAGAGGACAATAGTGTATTGTAGAGTGTGGGGGAGAACTTTGAAACAATGAATATACCCATTGACCAATAAAGAGAACTTTCTTTTTCTGAAAATGACGATACACTGCAAAACCAAAGTTTATTCTTTATCCCTTTTGCATACTTTGTACATCACTAGTTATAATTTACGTGATAATCTCAATTTACGTGATATAGTTTTAATTTTTAAAATTAAATCATTAATTTTGTTAATAATAATTTTGAAAAAAATTATGACTTTTTAAAATATAAAAAATGTCACATAAATTTAGACGAAGGACATGATATATCCTTTCCACCCAACCCCATTCCACTAGTAAAAACGAATTATTTAAATCACAATATATTATTGTATACTTACATTAAATATTAGTGTAGCATAGTTTTATAACTTATATTATTGTACATTTCATGTAAAATTCAAGGGGTAAAGATTAATAAGTTTCACATTTGTTAGATATATTTTTCCTAGTGAAGGAGGCTCAAGCTAAGTGTTTGTTATCAAATTTCGTCCAAAATTAAAACTATTTCAAGGAGTAAATATCAAATTTTATGTGGTGGTAACTTATAGATGTACCTTAAAATTCTAGTCGTTACTTTTCATACATATATACATATATAATTGACACACATGATACAATATTCACACGATTTTTAGTTAGGTTATATTGTATTGAGGCAGGTACATGTATTCTACTACGTTTTGAAACATAACAAAATCTCACCCTATTTTTCTATTTTCTTGAAAAATAAGTGTTAATAGTGTTATTTATGAAATTTTCAAGTCATGTGAACTGCTAATAATCGCTAGATTATTAAAACTTGAAGAACATTAATATGGAAAAACAAATCCACAGATAACTCTTAAGCTAAAGAATTTCTTCTCTAGATATATTAAATGAAAGAATTTTTATATAATCAACTTCAACTTATTTGAAAATGAGACGTTATTAATGTTGTTAAACGATTCGTGACCACCACTAATAAGTAGCCATTGGCTCACCCAGTGGCGAAGTCGCGAAGAGGATTCATTCAAGCATCTCCTTCGTCGAATATAAGGTTAAAATATCTTTATTTTACGTATATATAACAAATAATGTTATATCCTTGTAGAAAAAAAATCTTACTTCCGCTAAGCAATGATGAATTTATGTGAAAAATATGAGCACATACATTTATGATTGTTCCATAAAATTAGATATTTTATGTATATTTTTTAAAATTAGTATAATATTATCTGGTGACACTTAAAATAACAAGAAGTAATGGTGTACTTGGTTCAACGTTAACCTATTTGTTTAGAAAATTATATATTATTTTTCACATAATACAACTTTATCGTTCGTTTTTCTAATACGATCAATTTACCCTTATTATAGAAATCTTAAATTCGACTCTGGTATAATCCAAAAATGCACGCTTAATAGATGTGGTCACGACCATAAAATCAAGACTACTAATTTTTTATTCTATTTTATGAAGGGACCATAAAATAAGACTCATACGCAAAGGTCACATTCATTACCTTTTCTTTAAATAATAAATAAAAATACTCATCACGTGTGATGAAAATAGTGTTCTCTTATTTTAAAATGATTTGACGTATTTTTCTTTTATATATCACGTAGGTAAGAAAATATTAATTATAAGAAACTTTTAATTATTTTATCTTTATTTTTGTCGCACCATCTATATAAGCCTTTGTGGCTAGAATATACCCTCTTTGATCTAATTTTTTTTTAAATTTTATAATCAAAAATATGTCTCGGGAAAAATTAAAATTAAAAATTATCAAAAAAAATTGGTCTTTTTAAAACAGCCGAAAGAAAAACTCAAAATAAAAATATAATTTCTTTAGAAATTAACGATTATTTTCTAAACACCCTACGCAAAATCAGTAGATTAATTATACTTGAGATAGACATGTTTAATTTGAATTTTGAAAATGAATAAACTTTTGAGAAGGAGCAATTTTTTTTAAAAAAAATAAATTTAAATTAATCCGATTAATAAATTTAGAAAATAAAATAAAATAAAAAATATACTGTAAATTCTCTAGTTCTGTTCATTCCCAAGATATTAAAGAAGATATGGTTGAGAATTAAAGGCCAAAAAAGACTTAAAAAAAAAAAGGCAATGATGAGAATGTACAGA